CCCCCCCCCCAAAAGCTGGATTTCCCAGTAGCAATTTTAACCACAACCTCTAGGCATTAAGAAAACAACTGGATACAAGGGCAAGAAAATATGTACATCCTTCTATATACATCATCAAAATATCTTTTGATCCGATAAAGACAGGCAACAGTATTCAAGCTTTGAAATTGTTTATGAAGTAATCAGCATTAATTTGTTCTGTTCAGATTTTAATTATATACCATGTGCCTTCCTGTGAGGACACTACCACAAGTATAGCTGTCAGATGGAAATTTAATTTTCTAGTAGATGACCATATACCTCATGAATTATACATGAAACTTTGTCTCACGGTGACTGTTGCTATAAGACTCTTTCATCATTTGTATGTTTAAACAAACCACAATAGTTTTTAAATAAATCTGATCAGCAGTAAAGAGATGATAAAGTGCTAAGAACGATTTCTAAAACACTGTTAGAGGCACACTTCTTATTGATTTGTTTTGCTGCAATTTGGGTCACATTCCTCTGCTCTTAGTTGTTAGCAGAATGATGGGCAGACCGTTGCATTCACTTTCAAATACAACATGGATAGCTGGATTTACATTTCTTTTTAAGACTCAGCTTTTGCAAACAAGCCTTAGATTTCAGACATAATTCTGTTATTCAAATGGGAGAAGAGTTTGATAGCTATGCTAATCACTTTTATCTGAGAAAACATAACTAATAGCTTGGTTTACATTTGCCTACATTTATGAGCATAATTTTAGCACATAATTTTATTGCACTATAAAACATAATACTGCATTAGTCCGCTCCTAAAAAAAAAAGTTACCTTGGAGTGATTTGCACTTAAACCTTCACACGACATTTAAATGACAGTATCATTTTAAAATTTTGATCTTTTTAAATTAATTAAAAAAAAAATCACATAGCAATCTTATAAAGCCAATTTCTGTATAAATATTTGGCGAATGTGTTCAAGATGGTCACAGCGGCATTGATCACAGCATTGTTTAGAGTCGGTTATTCTCCTGTATAAATTGGACTGAACAAAGATAATTTGTTCTTACATTGCATCAAAAGAATCTCTCAAAATTCTCCATCGACATACACATTAACAAATTATGTGGAAGAAAAGAGGAGTGATCTACATAGTCTTTTTTTGCATTCAGTGTTTTCAGCACTGGAAACTGAAAGGGAAATGATGCCTTTTAGGTTAAGAGGGCTAGTTACTACTTTCAGTGGCCTATAAACAAAGAAAATTTGCTCAAAAGAGATTTTGCATTATTGTACTTAATATTTCCTCTTGGAATAGTTATAGCCAATAATGATATGACAGCTGTTTTCCAGGATGACAACTGTGTCAATAGACAAAACATAGTGATCTTGATATTAATAGTGTTTTGCACATATGTAGCGCTTTTTCTCTGAAAATTTGAAAATATATATGTACAAATTTAACCCCACCACTCCCTTGGAGAAGGAAAAAGTGAGGTACAGAAACATTACACCCTTTGTGATACCAAGAATCGACCTATGGCAGAATGTGAATTTTAATGTGGCTCTCATTCTCTAGCTAGCAAAGACCTCTTCTAAAGAAAGCTCTTGAGGAGTCCACAGTTGGTCTTGTAATTACCTGTGGCATATTGTGTATTTTTTTCCAACCAAATCCCCTCTCCCCGCAGTAGATTTTCTTGTGCAGTACAGTTTATATTGTCAAACTAATATCCCTGTTCCCACAAACAGATATCCAGAAGGTTAACCTTTGCCGTATGAGTAAGTCCATGTACTTTATATCTTAAAGGTAAGCACACGTATATTGAGGGGATCATATCTTGCCTTCTCTAGTAACATTGCTTGGAAATGGCTTGCTTGCTTACTGACTGCAAATGAAACCATGCTACTGAGCTATGTTTTTGGTACTCAGTTTTGATAGATTTCTTTTATTTATTATTTGATTTTACAGGATCTCGGTGCTCATGGCATATTTAATATGATGCATTGCATTAACTGTAATACTAATATGGCTTGCTTGTGTAGAGTTATTCCATGATACTTGCAGATTTTGTCAGGTTGAGACATTGAGAAACGTCACGCCAAGCCACCACTTAGCATAATCTTTTTGCACTGTACTGTAGCACCGTGAATCCACAGTGAAGACACTGGGGAAACTTTGGACATGCTACTTTAGTTTGAGAATAATTCCTTCTTCCAAACAGAATCAGAGAAATTAACAAACTAAGAATTTCTAACCCACAGAACGGAAGCTGTAAGTGAGCTGAAAATAATACATGCAAACCCAACTTTCAATTCATTTCATAAAATTATCAGATTTGGCAGCATTATTTAATGTGGCTCGTCACTCCTTCTGAAGACAGATGCTGTGGCCTAACAGCAGATGTCAAAAACTAAACTGCTTAGCTCCTGCTAAGGGTCTGTTCAGCCCATATTGCCATGGAATGGGAGGGTTGAGTTACTCACTCGAGATAGTTCTGCCTCCATTGACTGTAGAGTTCAATTAGGCAAAGTACCTAACTTTGCACGATTCGTGTCAAGAAAGATCACCCCCTCCCATCCTTTCCTTAAAAGCTGTCGTTTCTTGATCACATCATTTCACAAGAATCCTTTTTTTCTTTTTTCTTTTTTAAAGAACATAAAGTTTATAATGTCATAGATATGAAAAAAAGCTTTGAAAGCATGACCAAAAGTCACCTTAAACTGCCCAGAAATAAGAACGCATCTGGAAAGGAACTCAAATCATTTAAATAAAAACTGCGTAACGGTAAGCTTGTACTTACAATATGACTTTTGGCATTTGAGTCCAGGTATTTGGAGTGCTGAATCCTACTTCAAATCTGTTCCAGTTAACAATATCAAAACTGTGCAAGACAGGCAAGGGATAGCCTTGAGTATGACAGCACAAGCTAAAAAGTGTTGAGCAGGACAAAGAAAGAAAGAAGAGATTGTCAGTACTCCAGAGACCAAAAAAAGGAAAGGTTTTCTCTCCCTGTACCTGCTTGAGATTCTCTAAGACACTTCAAAATAGTGCCAGATTTTGTTTAAGAGGGTATGGATCGGTGTGGTATGCAGACTTCCTGCTGTTTCTTCTTTTTCCCTCTTACACTTGCATGAAGGGAGGGGAAAAATGGAGCAGGAATTCCGTGCCTGTGAACTGATCTTCTTTCTCTTGCCAAAACATGGCTGCAGAACCCAGGCAGACTGTTAGTGAAGCAGCCACTCTACCCTGAAGGATCTGGCTTTGTTCTGCCAAATAATGGTATGGCATATAGAATTTGTCCTTACCCTCAGTATATTAGGCAGAATTGTGATGGATTCCATGCAAGCTTGATGAGAGAGGACGTTAGGACACAGTAATCATATTTGCACAAGTTTGTTCATATTCCTCCAAAACTAATACTAGACGTTTGCTGCGTAAGAATTAACAACACCATTAAATCTTCCACCAGTAGAAAAGTCAAACCAAAAAGCTAATATCCAGAAACACCTTTGATTTCCTGAAAACTGCTACACAAAACGATTCTGTTTCTCCAGGAAAACTTCACGTCTAAGTCAATGTCTCCTCACACATATGAGGAGGAATGACTGAATTTTTTAGATGGGGAAGGTTTGTTGGCACCAGGATGCACCCACTTTTGAATTGTTGAATGTCTTCCCTGCACTTACAACCCCAAAGTATTAATCTCAGAAAATACAGAGTATCAGAGTCACATACCTCGGCAAAAAGTCAAGAAATTCCGAATTGATGTTCTAGCCTTAATGAATACCAATGTGTGCGCTGTGAAGTGGAAGAGGATTACAGTGGGAGAAAAGCCAGCAATGAGGGCAGAGTATCATCCTTAAATTGGAGTTCCCTGGCTGTTTTTACCTTAAGCAAGTCCCACACCAATGCAAAGTTGCACTTGCTCTGTGCTGTGCCTGACAGTGCCTCCAGATGTCATTAAAACAGCTTTTTAACCTTTGGCCTTTTATTTAAAGGTGGATTTTTTATTTTTTTTTTAAAAAGGAAATGATCGTTCTCTTCAAACATCTTCAGCAAACAAAGCTCCTCAAAGCCACTGTCTGTTAACGCTACTGGCTTTTTTAAATAACCGTAATTAGACATGTGTAAATTAGTAATTATATTTAGGACCTTTTTTTTTTTTTTTTTTTAAACTAATGTTGAGATCCATATTTAAGGAGCAAGCCAGAAGCACCTCCAACTAAGTGGTTCCCCGAAGCATGAAAATCTTTTATTTAGTTATCACATATTTTTTTTTTAACTAATGTTGAGATCCATATTTAAGGAGCAAGCCAGAAGCACCTCCAACTAAGTGGTTCCCCGAAGCATGAAAATCTTTTATTTAGTTATCACATAAATGGCTTTAAATTGAGAATCCTAGCAGCATCATTTAGCCACCAGCATTCTCAATTTAACTATAGGAAACTATAGGAGCTAGGTGGGGAGAGCGCTCTACATTTTACAGGGCGGAATTCAACCATTAGGTTGGAAACATGGCCTGCTGTTGTAGCTATTCTTTCTGCAAGTCTTTTGAAGGTCTCACTCCGAAAGTAACAGTAACTGGAAAATTCTATTACACACCAAAGACTTTCAGCTTCTAGGTCGGAAATTTAACATCGTCCTCAGTGGGGATAATCTATCTATCACTTTCAAATAGCCTTCACAGATCATTTGTAACGCACCAAAGCTTTTCTGAAATGAGGATCATGACCATAAGTTAACTTAATGCTGACTGATACTTGGTGGATGTCAAATGTCAGTGCCCTAAATAATTAGTTTCACACTCAGTTCACCTGAGGAAGTACAGCTATTCTACTCTGTGAACAGGAAAAAATAAGGCATGGGATTATAAAAGACTGGCAGCAAGATTATACAGGAAGTCAATAGCAGATTTGGGAGCCTCAACTACAACAAAATCCCAGAACTATGCTCATTTTTTGTCTTGTTTTGTTTTGGTCCATTGCAATTGTTTTTTTCTAAGCTATCTCCCAAGTTCATTTTGGTGTAACATTTCTATCATTGAAAAATAATCAGACTCCTTAAAATAATAAAACCAGCATATTTTTTGTCACTCTTATTTCCTCCCAGACCCAATTTGGTAGATGTGATAAGAACTTTCAAAAACCCTGACCTTCAAAACGGAAGCACTGTTAAACCTTGAACATAACGGCATGATGTAATATAGACAGAATAATATCTAGTTAAATAGCTGTTCCTTTAGCAGCTACATAGTTCATTCATTTATGTAAGAACTAGGTTCATGTCCAGACGATGTAGCTTCCAGTCAGAGAAAAGTGTGACTAGCAACTGGAGTGTAATAAGAATGTAAGAATATTAGAGAAAAAGGAAATTAGGAAAGCCATTTTGTCCATGATGGGCCATCTAATTATTTCCTAAATGGGAAAATGCTTTTCCCTTACCTGGTTGACCACTCCGCACATTCAACATGAAAAATGCTTCTTGACATCTGTTCTGAACTTTCCTTTTATTTCAATGCGTGCTCCTTTGTCCTGTCATTTATGTCAGCCTGAAAACAACAACATGAAATGACAGGTTCTAACCACTTAAATATTGAAAATTGACCTTTTTCTTTCTTTATTTTTAAGAACAGGTTTCAATAGCATACCGTTTCCTCTCTCCCAGTTAAGTGTCTTTTAATTGCAGTGCTGTCACAAAGTTCAGTCACAGAGACCCAAACAGAAGTTTCTAACTAAGACCGTATAGGCTGCAAGACACAAAGACAGAGGGAAGTTCAGACTTCCAGAGCAGAAGTTGGGCTTACCGGGAACACTGACTACCTTCCCCTTTCCAGTGGAGGAAACAGTTAACTCTAGAATGAATGCTTATTTGTGGGTCTGTCCTGCATTTCTAACATGTCGATTGCTATTCTTACTATCACGCTTCTGGCACTGAGACAAAGTGACTCCGTAGTCTGAAAAGAGGCCGCCACTGCAAGAGTTGCTCAGGTGACTCTCATGAGTTAAGAGTCCTGCTGCATTAGCTCTATACCGACAGAGCAGCCAAGGTGGTGCCTCCACAAAAAAAAACCTCACAGCTGTACTGTAGGGTGTAGTTGCTGAGTTTGCATCGTACTTCTGGGAGCACCTAGGGACTAACAGTAGCTAACAGATTCATGGTTTTAAAATAGGTAGGATTCCCAACAATGGTAATTTTTTGTGACCTGATGAAGTTGCAAACTTGCCAGTCAGTCTGTTCTGAAGATCAGGTGAGCCTCTTGTCAGCCATACCCCATAACGAGAGCAAGGCTCAAAAAACCTACACCATCTTCCCACAGCTGGCAGTCAGGTTAGCAGTCCATGCTAAAATAGGCAGATAGATACATGAATAATGAAACAGGCCACATTCCCATATGAAGATAAGGCTTAAATCAGCAAGCTCTTTTACTAAACTGAGGCTGGCACACAGGTCAGCTTGCTGTAACACTTCATCAAGAAAACTGAGCCTTGGTTTATAGTCTTCTACTCTGAACTCAAAAATAAGCCTGCGCCTAAAGTGAGGTCAGGATCTGGTCCTGCACACTTTTTTTGTTTTCACAAAAGGCTAAATAAACTTAACATGAGATCTGTGACTAGTATCAATTTCAGACTACCCACAAACTAGTCATTCAAACATCTATACCATTCTCTGATATGAAATAAGCATGCATTTTATATATGCTATTTGGTAATCTCACAAGTCAAATACACTTAAGCATCTTTAAGCCTGATACAATGAAAAGTAAGTTTCATACCTAACCAGTAGCTAACGGTAGCTAACCAGTATCATTCTTTTACTTCCCACAAATGAGATAAAGTTATCCAGAAGATTTTTTTTGTTTATCCTCTAAGAAAACTGACATACTGTTTGTAACTGGAATTTGCATCTAGCATAACAACAGCTATCATTGTGCTGCTCTGCCGCACTGAGAAGTGTATCTGAGAGCAGGCTCAGATTTCTGTCATCTTCTCCTTGCATCCTCTCTAAATGTAAGCCTTTAGGCTCCAATTCTGAGAAAAGATCTATGCTGACTGATCTCTTCACCCACATACAGTTCCACAGAGGTCACTGGGGCTTTATGGAGGTGCACAGATCTCACCAAACGGAGCTTATCACTGAAGAAGGCCAGAGTGAAGGTTTTTCTCCTGTAACAGAATTTACCCACATTTTCCAGTTAATCCAGCAGTTCAGAGGCACAGGCTTTCCACTTGCTACAGCTCCAGGACTGAGGAAAATTGATTTATTCTTGTACGTCAGGTTTAACCTGATCAACACAGCAACCACCCCCCTGCATGTCCAATGGTGCAGGCTTGACAGAATGCATTATGGAACTGTTGCTGCTGTAGCATAATCCAGGCAAGTTTCACCACTGGTATTAATGTATTGGCCACAGCTGGAGGCTATACCCCAACTGTGGATCTGATCTACTATGGTTAGATTCCCTGAATATATTAGAACTGAAAATTGAAGGGTTTTTTTTTTTTGGTTTTTTTTTTTTTTTAGTTACATAGACTAGAGGATTCTTTGGCAGAAGCTTACACAGCCAAAATTGCTGACGCAGAAAGATGACTGATCAAAAAGCAACATAAGAAGGTCTGCTCAAGAGCTGATTTCCAAGAGTAGCTAGGCAGCAAAACGTGTCCATTAGAGAACTTGGTAGGCTTTATCTAACGCTGCCTGAACTGCGTAAGTTGATTAAAATCCACTGTAGTTTCTGATTATTAAAATATAGAATGTTTATTTAACTTCATGTTATTTCAACACTTACTGCTAAACGGCACGGACAAAGCAAGGCTTTGACCTGGCTCTAAATGGAAACTAACATCTCCATTTTTGAATTTGATCCAAAGCCTACTGAATTCAGTAGGTGATTTTCCATTAACTTCACTGGACTTTGGATCAGGCCCTATAAGATGAAATCATTTCAAACCAGGAAATTCTTTTCTTTTTCTTCTTCACTATATCATATTTTTGGAATGTTCTTTTAGTGGTTCATTCAGGAAGGAGCCATTTCTCAGCAGAGGAAAGGCCGAGGGAAACAGTTTCATTGATTGCAAAATCCACCCAATTTCTGGTGCAGGCTGTACTTTTGTCATGAATTTTCACATTTTTAGAATACAGTCCCCAGAGAAAAAAAATAAAAGGTGTCTAAGTTGCTGCTGAGTTAGGGCCTGAGTCATAAAAGTAATACTGTGAAAAATTTAGTCTGTAGGTAACAATGAAAAAGTTAATGCAAACAGTCATTGACTTCATTATAGAAATCTTTGGCAACAACTTTTCCAGACTACCGTTAAGCCTTAAGAGAAAAACGTTTCGGCACACAACCACTTAATCATTTATATGAATGAAAACGAGCGCAAACAGAATGCTGAGATGGCTTTAAGATCACCTCTTTTTTCTTGTACGGAATACCCACTATAATTACATTTTGCTTGTCAGTTCATAAATTCTGTTTATTACAAAATGGACATTATTGATTGCTTTTTAAAAGTATTAAAACTAAGCTAAGAGCAGTCGATCTCTCAACAAATTCAAAACATACTATCTTCCAAACTAATCACTGGCAAAGGGACTATGGAAAAACTATCCAAGTTTATTGTAAGCCCAATGCAAAAAACTGCAGTTACCATGAGTTTTAGGTTAGTAACTCGGCTTTGAGTTTAGCATGTTTTAAGCCACAATGAAAAAAAAAGATAAACTTATTTGGCAAAGCCAGACACTTTTAAAGCCAACATCCTGTAATTGTTTCCTCATTTGGCCTGGCAGCTTAAACAAAGATTTAAAAAAAAAAAAAAAAAAAAAAACTGTTGACAAAACTGAAATTTTCAGTCAGAAAGAAATAGAGAAATAAAGAAATCAAGGTATTTGTCACATCTGTGCTAAATGAATATGTAAATTATGTGTATTTTTTCCCTGTTTTGTTCTTTTCTTAGATAGGATTCAAAAAAGTTAAGTCAAAGAAACTCACTAGCCTTGTGGGAAAAAAGCCTGAATTTAAAATTGTCTTGGTTTGAATTGGTGCACACAGCAAGACATTTGAATACAGTTGACCCTACCAGTGCAGAAGAGCCAAAGCGATAGCAGGCAGGCAGCAAGTGAGGACTCAGCCTCTTTGAGATCAGTTGATTAAACGTCACCAAGTGAGATTAGCACACACTGGGAATATCCTTATTTAGAACCAGTAAGAAAGAACAGTGATTAGAAGGGATTTAGAGCTGCCATTCTCATTAAAATAAGGTTAGAAGCGGACATCTACAAATAGCTATAGGAGAGGGAGGGGAGGGAAAGTCTTAAAATGGAGAAATTAACCATATTTGCTATTGGATTAAAACTAAACAATCTCTGAGCATACTCAGACTTTTACTTCTGTCACTGCTGTATTGCTGCCAGGCCTGAACTAATACCGAAAGAAAACATGAGGTAGCTACTGATCTGGCTGGAAAACACTGCCCTATTCAAAGTTAGAATCTGTTCTAAATATCAAGACACAAAATTAACTGATTAACTGTCCTGGATTTTGGGGGGAGGGCAGGAAGGGCACGATTTATATCAATGTCAAGCCAGGAGAGCAATTTTGTATTAACCTAAGTTAACAAAATGGAAAACATAAAAGTGTTTTTAAAGTGGAAATAATATAGCAACTTTCTAAATATCTTAACAGTGTACCTGGCTACACTTGGACCTAGGAAGCAATATTTTACATGTAGCAGTAGATTTTTTTTTACGGCTTTAAATCCAAAGACAGGGCTGTACTCCCATCAAAAAAGGATAACATCAAACGTTATGCCACTCTGAAAGCAGCAAATGAAATTCTGCAGTATTAAGAAAACCGCCAGATAACAAAGTTGTGATCCAACGGAACAGTTGTGTTCAGAACAGCTGTATTTTTGAAGCCACTGACACAGGGCCACGGTGTTAGCCGAGTGACAGTTTTTAGTCACTAAGCTTTTAGAGACAATGGAAAAAATTCTATGCAATTATCTGTGAAACCTATCACATGGAGGAGCGTATGCAAAATGCCTTTGTGGCATCAGTCAGGGCAAAGAAAGTAAGTAGACTTTGGCTCATACTACTGCCGCTTTGCACCATTCTGGTGGCCTAAAGAGACTAAAAAGGTACCCTGACAAGGCAGTAGATAACTGTATAATGAAGTTACGGGATTTGCTAATATGCCATTACTGAATTCAGAAATAAACTCTCTCCATATTTTCCACGTCAACAATTCAAGAACACAAAATTCTTAATGTGCACCCTATTAAGAAACTAGCAAAACAGAATTTTCTCAGAATACAACACAAACCATATATCTGGCCTGAGAAAAAGTGTTGCCCCTAGAAATAAATGGCAGTAGATTGCTCGGAGGCAGGTGCAGGTCTCCTGATCTTCCTGTACCTGGAAGGCATAGGGGAACGGGAACTCCTGTGTGCCCAGAAAGCCAGAGAGACCTAAGGTCTGTCCCTTCCTTTTGCCTCTAACTCAGTGCTTGTCCCTGTGGGGACTTGGGAGGGGGAGGAGAAGAATAAATCAGTCTCCGTCCTATCCGTAACTCAGTTTTGTGCCCTGTGAAGACCCTTCAGTTAGTTTACGGAGCAACAGTTGAAGCAAACTTGAAGTTTAACCAAACTTTGATGTAGTTTCAGACACCAAACTAGAGCACAGCTTTTACATAAATTGGTATTTTCGATTATTTCTTGCAATGCCTACCTGTCTCACAATTCTGATACACAGTCCCATCTTCTATAATATTTTCCCTCTTGCATCATATGAAAAATTTTACCAACTCCAATAAGATTATATCTACTGAATTTTTTTTAGTCTGGGAAATCAGAGACGCGAGGTTAGTTTGTCACCATCCCATTTTCTTATAATAGCATTACCTATCCTTTTCTTAAAAATTTTGTGCATAGCAAGAGGTCTGTACATGCTCAGATGCTCATCACCACTACCTTAAATGAAGGCTACATATACTATTCTCCAGCCATCTGGTGCCATTCACACCAGAGGTATTAAAAGCCCTCGAAACAAGACCTGCAGCTTTATTCCTTTCAGAGCTCCGCAGTAGACAGCTCATCCTCCCAGTGTGAGCACATTCAGCTCCTTCAATTTTAATTCCACCTTAGTTAAACTTCTGTTTTCATGCTGTTAGTCCCTAGACACTTTGCCTTTACTTCCATATTCAACAGCTTTCTTCTGTTACCATTTCCAGCGCAATAATCCTGTTCTAAATAGGATATCATATTAGGCTACATTAATGCAGGAATACTGAATGCTTATGCAGTCATCAATTATATTCTGCAAAACACCATGTAAAATATTTTGATAAGCTACCAGAAGAGACGTGAAATGGGTTTGCTGGGAACACCGAGACAGAAACCACCACAAGACCTTTTGTCGTCTTGAATGTCATCTGCCAATAGAACAAGTATCTCTACACGGTTCACGTAAGAGAAGCTTAAGCTGCCTGTGCCACCAAGAACCACACCGAGTCCAAAATACATGCCGTAACTGCAGCAGTTCTCTGGCTATGTTTTGCAAAGGTATGTCTATACATCAGTCACTGTAATCCGCCTACAGTTAGCACATGGCATAACTCTGCTCAAGTTGGTGTTTTTTTCATTTCTCTTGCTCTTTCCTTTTTTTTTTTTTTTTTTTTGGTTTAAACTTCAGGACAGGACAGCATTGTTCCTTTGAACAGACAGATGAATGCTGAATGCTGTTATAACAAAATTCTTATTAGCTTAGTTAAATCAGAGTCTATTCGTATAGTTAAATACATAATGTGAAATCAACTAATTCTGTAGTGTACATTGGATCTTGTACTATTCCCAAATTATATTCCTAACAAAGCTCCTTCCTTTGTCAATTATGCTGAAAACCCAAAACATGTTCTGAATGTCAGTTACAACCACTTTTACAACACTTTTTCCATGCATATTCATGTTTTTTTACAAGCCATTTTGTGTTTGAGTAGAATGTGTTACTAGAATCAGCTATGTTGTGATTTATTACAAAGCTGATTAAAAAAAAAAAAACTTTTGTACAAGTAAGTCCTCTGAGATTATCTCACAGGTAAATTAGAGAGAAATTATGTCAAGGAAAGAAATGCCAGGTCACATTAATATGTTTAGTAACTATGACTAAGAAAGTACGAATACTTCACTATAAAGAAACTGAAAGCTAGAAATTAACTCTTCTTTCAGAAAAGGAAGACCTACCTCCTCCATTTTGAGAATCTTCTTGATAAAAAAGTCTGTTCTTGCTGAGCAGCCAGCTGACTAGATAAAAATCTCAGCACTGGGTTCAGGATTAGTAGAGTGCAGTGTGCAGGAAATTTGTTAAGAGTCTCTGGGTTTTTATCATCAAGCTGTGAAGTCAGAAGTCAAAGATGGAAATCCTGTTCTTCAAAAAGGTATAGACTAGAAAAAACAATAGTAAACACTATTACTATTAGTAATACACCAAAACGTATGCCAGAGAGTGCGATGTGGTCTAACAAGGCTTGTAGGATTTCCCATGGAACAGGATGGAATGCCAAGACTTAATGCAGCTTGTCAAGAATCTAACTAAAAACTAAACTAAAAAAATCAGCAAATAAACTCACAAAAACGGGATTGAGCTTGGCAGTACCAGCAACTCTATTGCCCTGCTGGTAAAGCAGAAAAAAAGGAGGGGGAAAGATAATCTTTCCAAAGTGTATGTTTTTGACAGTTTGTTGTAATGCTTTAAGCAATCAGGCTGTTCTGCAGGGAGACTCTGTCCCATTGAAAAGGAAGCATGATGTTCCACAATGACAGACTCTCTAAACTTTCTGGGAAGATACTGGTTTTGCTGTTTCAGGGGGTGATGAACTAAGTTCCCATAAACTGGTGTGGGATAAATAAAATCTTGTGTAACTGGTGGTTCCAAAACAGGCTCCGCTTGGAACAGAACACAGGGATAAACAGGGCTCAGCTCTGAGGCTGGTGAAAGGCAGTTCCGGTTGACAGAAATTGTGTTAACAGCTTCTGTGCTAGGAGTCTGGCAAAAAGCTTTAAGGAAACTGTCTCTTTCCTTTCCTTCATATTTTATATATATTACACATATGGAGAATGCTGTATGTATTAGCCTGTAATTTCTGGTCACAATCACAGTCATCACACTATGCATGTGAGTAGTCATGGCTAAGAAGGGATATTTCAGATCTTATTTAATAGTCTCCATCCTTATGCTCTGGCAAGGAGATCTGAGAAACATTACCTTACAGTGTTAAGCAGTGTTCTCTCTCGTAGAACAGATACTACTTCCAGTGCAAATGCATGCGCTCACAAGTTTAATGTTAGCTGTCAGTAGGTACTCACGCATGAAAAGTTAACATTTGCTTTCCATCAGGACTCACGTGACTAATGCTCAGTGGCTTGAGTGTTGGAGAAAAGTAAGCACAAAAGGTCCTTGACACCAGAGAAATAAAGCTTTTAAATTTCAAATAAAACTTTACAGATGTTTGGGCATTTTCTCAATACAATTGAAAGAAAATAACAACAAAACCAAACCAATAGCCCGGTAGTTAATTTAACTACTTAAAAAGGTTTTTCAATTGCACCTGAGTCCAAAGTTCACTCCTCTGGTGGTTGGTTAAAAGCCAGAAATAGATGATGCTGCATGCAGTGATATTGAGGACATTCTTCAGTAGCAATTCCCCTGGAAAACTCAGAAGGATTCAAGGCTGTTTCTAGAACTGTCTTCAACAGCAGAAACGCAGAGTTTTCTGAATAGATAAAAATAACTGGGTGATCCCACAGATGGGTAATTCAATATGGATTCAAATTTTTACTTCCTTCCATCAGCTTTTACAAATACATGATCTAATCTAACATTTAAGTCATAGAAATCTGAAATAAATCCCCATGTTGAATCAGCTTTCATCTTCAATTGCTTAGAAATTTTTCATGTTGCAGAAAAGCAAAGTGATCTAGATAGATTTTCCTAAAATCAAAAGAAAAAAATATTCATAATCTCTTGAGATTGTTGTTTTTCTTGACGCGTAACTGGAAAACAACCTGTTAATTTTGTTTAGAGCAAAAAAACGACTAGTTAAACAGGTTATCCAGACTGACCTCTTGTTTATCAGGTTTTACCTTGCTCATATCTCAAATAACAAGAGAGGCTTGAATACAAGTTTTATATAGAAAGTGATAGTAGTTTCATTCTCAGCACTTTTTGTGTCTCAGATGAGATCACGTTATTATAATTTTATTCTCTACCTATCCTTTGGAAACCTTTTTCCCCCCTCCCCCATATTCACTTACCAGAAATAGTAAGTTTTAGAGCTGGGCAAGAGTTGGAATTCCAAAGAAGCGTTTGATATCCTGACTGGTTTTCATTCCCTACAAGCAATAAAAGCTAAAATACCTTTTTTTTTTTAAATAGAATTTTCTGTCATATAGAATTCAAACATGGAAATATCAGAATGTTTCTTTTCAACATTTCTAACCAAAACTAAGCATTCTGGCATTTCCAGATCAGAATACTCCGTTTCAATGCCATGAATGAAAAGCAGTTTGCCTATGCTTGTACCTCTAGCTCCTGTACTGAACCACACTTCCATACACGACACAATTTTGTTCCAGTTCAGAATGACTTGGCACTTTCAATTTACAGCCAAAAATCAAAAATATACTTATGTAATTTTGAAGAAACTAAACATTTATGTTGAATAGAAGTTCTGTTGAATAAACTTTTAAATGTTAAATAAACCATTTAACAGAAGATCAGATACCTCAACTGAAGCCCCTTGAATAAAAACAAACAAACAAACAAAAAAAAAACCACACACACCTCTCCTATTTGCAATTATTCAGCATCTTTTCCAAGCATTTCCAAATCCATTACAAAGATTGAGTCGCTTATATAGTAAAAAGAAAGCAACTAACACATAGAGTTGGTTTCCTTTGTCCATCGTTATTCAGCGAAGCAGTGGTAGACTCAGTACATCACCTCAGCTTTCAGCACTGTGACACTGACGCAGCTCATTAGAATTACATACAACAAAAACTTTTTATGGAAATATAAGCAACCCACTTACTGCCATCTCTGTGCCCAAAGGTCCTCAGTATTAATTTAAGATGGCATCATGGAATTAACTCCCAAGTTACAAAAGCTCACAATTACACCTGATGAAACAACAGTTAACTTCTCAAACTGAATGCAAGAATTCCTCAATGTTCCAAAATCTAAAAAATTCAAAAAGGCATTGCAGGAGAAACCGGAAGCCAAATAAAAAATGGAATACTGTAAGTCGACACAAATACTCAGCTAGTCCTGAAGGTTACAACAGAGTTATAAAAACATTAACTCAGTGCTTTAAAAAAAAAAAAAACAAACCATTAGGAAGGGTAGAGCTGAAGGGGTAGTAGTCAACAGCTTGAAGTCTAGTTACAGCTGGTTAATGGAAACATTCCTCAGGGGTCGCTACTGGGACAACATTGTTTAGCGTCTTCAGGAATGACCATCAATAGAGCAGAGTGCACCCTCCGCAGGTTCAGAGATGACACCACCTGGGGGGAGCAGTTGATGTGCTGAAGGCAGGGCTATCATTCAGTAGGACCTTAACAGGCTCAAGAAAACGGACCTACATGAGCTCCGTTACATTCAAGACGATGCCAATTCTAGAAGAAAAAAACGCGCAACAATACAGGCTGGGAACCAACTGAATAGAAAGCAACTCTGCAGAAAAGGACCTGAAGACAAGTTGAAATGAGTCAGCAATGCGTCCTTGCAGCAAAGAAGGTCAACCGCCTATTTGTCTGCATCAGCAGGAGTGTAGCCAGTAGGTCAAGGAAAGGTACTCAGCCCGTCTGTGTGGCTGTATCTGGGGTACTATATCCAGTTTAGGGCACCCCAGTATGAGAGAGAGAGAGAGAGAGAGATTGACAGACTTGAGAGAGTCCAGAAGAAGGCTAAGATGGTTGGAGCTGAAGCATATGATACCTGAGGAGAGGCTGAGGAAACTGGATTTACCTAGCCAGAAGAGAAGGTTAAGAGGGGATCTAATTGCAATCTTCCATTTCCTAAAAGGGATTCATAGAGAAGATGGAGACAAACTTGTTTGGAGAGGTTTTGGAGCAAAAGGATAAGAAGCAATAGTTACTAGTTGCAATAAGGAAAATCCATGTTACATATATAGAGGAAAAGAAAAAAAAAGAAAACTGCCGTGGTAGCAGTTAAGCACTGCAACAGGTACCCAGAGTACCTGGGGAATCTCAGGAAATTTTTTTCAATTTGACCGCATAAGACCCTGAACAACCTGATCTAACTTTGAAGTCGGCCCGGCCTTGAGCAGCAGGTTGGACTAGATGACTCCAGATGTCCCTTCCAACCTAACTTTTTCTGCAATTCTATGAGCTAGCAGGAAAAGAAAAGTTACCAGACTCAAAACAACATTACTGCACGTATAAATCCATTATTCACCTATTCCTCACTATGGTGTGCTGTTGTGGATCCCCATCTCAAAAAGGATATTTCAGAACTAAAAATAGGTCCTTCCACATGGAGAGTGACCGAATAGATTAGGACTCTTCAACCTGGAAGAAGGTGACAACGTTGTGAGTGGCATGGGCAAAGAGGATAGGGATCACTTGTTCATCATTTCTTCTAATATAAATGCAAGGGACTACCAAACAAAGCTAGAAAAAGCAAGTTCCAAACAAACAAAGGTAGTTCTTCACAAAACAGATGGCGAACCCCTGGAATGCCTTGCTAGGAAAGCAAGGGCACCTTGACACCAGGCACTGGGAAAGGAAATCTGCTGAGAGCTAGTAAACAAATGGAAAACAACCAACCAAACAACTTGGGGCTGAGGAATTCTGAGCTGAAAAATAGAGGCTAAGAGAAAGCTGGGTTAGAAATATCATATCTGTTTGTCCTGTTCTTATTCTGTGCTTAGACTTCTTGCCACTGTTGAAGACGAGGATGCTGGGCTAGAAAGGGCCTCGATCTCAAGCAGTGCAGCCATTCTTATCATGATGTCTTACAAGGTTCCTAACTCAGTGTTGTCCACCTAAATCCTGCCTCCGAAATGTTTGAGTTTTAGTCATCACTGACAAGAATAATCTTTACAAGATGGTCAGAATTTAGTTCTTTATGAGAAATTCCTGCAACACGCACACATACCCAGCAGCTGGAAATCTTACAAAGAACCTCTAAGATAGAGGTAGTATTTTGGTACGTATTCTGCAGTGCCAGATTGTATCATTTATTTATCTATCTATTTTTACATGACAGAAATGCATACAGAAAAGAATGCGAAACACCAGAAGATGCAGCCACATGAATAAGGTTAACAGAGATATAC